AATTTCTTCAGTTTTACAAATAAGAGTAAAAAAGAGCTCCAATTCTAGGTGCTAGCCACTTTGGCCATTGAAATAAAACAGGCAAATCAATATACAAAAGCCAATGTAGCATCATGCTTTCCGTTGCTCTCATCCTTCCCCAAAGAAATCACAAATCGGTTCCTCCTTCCCAGCACCTTCTTCCCAAAATCTCCCTAGGCAAGCTGAAGTCATCTTAAACTGTCATGCAACAAAAGCCAGGTGCAATATCTGTACGTGGTGTTTCAGGAGAAGTCAGAGTGGGAGTACAGAGCAAAAATAGATATTTAGAAGGTGTAAGTGAAGAAGTACTGTGTGAGGGGGAGGAATGGTTCTGATCCCACTCACTCAGGTTGCCAGCACTAGGAGAGTTTTGAATCAAAGCATCCTGAAACAATGAAAAGGACAGTTACACATGCAGAAGGTCCTGCCTGACCTAATCTGACCCTGACCTACCATATCAGCAGTTTCATGGTGTATCACTGCTTGTATGACTGGCTAAGCCCGTCTTTGATGCCTAGCCCTGTCTGAGTGTCCTGGTTTCAGCTGGGACAGTTAGTCCTTTTTAGCACAGCTAGAAGAGCTCCGTGTTTTAGATTTAGTCTGGGATTCGCTATGAGAAGAATGTTGATAGCGCACTGATGTTTATAGTTGGCACTGAGACCTCAAGGACTTTTCAGCTTCCCTTGCTCTTGCCAGTGTGCAGGAGCACAACAGGATAGGGGGGAGCATGGCCGGGACAAAGGGTCCACAACTCCCCTATGATTTGAAGTTAGATTTAGGATTGAGAGCCAGATTGGCCAATGGAGTATTTCATATCATGCAGTGTCATGCCTATTATATAGATGAGGGTTGACCAGAAAGAAGGGCTTTTGCTCTTCCAGGGGCTCTCGCTCTCGGACTCTTGGAGTGTTATCTCACTCTAGCTTTTGTTCTCTTTTTGGACCTCTTGTCATCTGGGATCGTGGTGTTGGAACTTACCTGTTGTGGGATCATTAGCCAGGACGGGACAGATGTTAGTCACTGTGAGGTGAACAATTACACTGTGCATCACTTGTTTGTATGTATTATCATTATACATATATTCATATTCACGTTCATATTCATATTCATATTATTAAATTTTTCTTGTCTCAACCCACAAATCTCCTTCCCTTTTCCCCTGTAATTCTCTTCCCCATTCCCTCGGGGTGGCGGAGGGTAAGCGAGTGGCTGTGGGACGTTTAATTGCCGGCCAGGCCAAACCACAACACGCAGGTTTTGCGACTGATCAGGGTAAGAGCCAAGCTAGACCTCCTGTGCCCTGGGCAGAGCCACCATGGGTGCCTGTGGCAGCATCACCCTCTCCTCAGGGCCTTCCTGTTGAAATGAAGACAGTTCTTACTTCTCAGCTTTGTGCTATACATGGATCTGCCACCTGCCCCACGGATGCTCAGGGCCCGTCTAAGAGTCGGGCCCACAGGCACACAAAGCATCTCCGTTGGTGACAGGAACATGCTCTTTTGAAGTGAATCTTCTGATTGCAGCCATTTACTGTGCTACGTTTCACATCCAGGACAGACTCAAAAGACACGAATTGGTTTTCTTTTGGATAATGCCAAACAAGAAGATGTGCCCAGAAGCACCCCTGAAGTGCAGCGTGAATTCAGACTAGTGACCAGGTTAGAGATAGTCCAGAGTAAACTCCTGAAACTTGCATGCTATAGATGCCATCTCCTTAGCTTTCGGAATACATTTGCTGGATCTTTAACTCCCCTTCCTCCTCTCTGTCATAGAAGAAAAGCATTCTTCCCTCACTCACCAGCACTCATCTGTTTAGTTTGTGGTTCAGGGCAATATCTACTGTTATGTGCATGGAATGGTTGAGGTTTCATTTCTGTTAAAGCTCTAGTCAGTGCTAACCAGTTAAAGAAGAGACAAGGAAACGGTGAGAGTTTGCCTTCCAGACTGAGTAGCTGTCAGAAACTCCTCCTTTTGTTATGAAAGACTTAAATTCATGGCCTCGATTTATCTCAGTGCAGAAATACAGTATAGAGAAAGGTGGTTCTTCAGATAGCAAGTATTCATATCCTATTTTATAGATCATAACCTACAACTTTGAGTATTCAAGAGAGAAAGGTGACTGTATATTTTGGATATTCAAAAGTATGAGATGCTCACAAAGCTGTTTCACTAAACAGGCACTTTTTTCCTAAATCATAAGCAATTCCTGGTTTGCAAACTGTGTGTGTGATCAATAACCATAAACATTTTCAAATTCAAGATCAGAATTCTTTCCAATCTTGGTTGAAAATACAAGATATCACCATTTCTCTTCTCTGTCTGCATGATCAACATTCTTAGGGTGAAATTCATCTCGGTTAACATTAGGGATATAAAATGTAGGTGTCTACATCAGAGCTCATCATCATCAACTCTTTTTCTAGTCAGTGCAGAAAAATACGCACTTTCAGGGCACAAGCTGTCTAATTAATTTTAGGCATGTGCTTTAGGATAAGATGAATCATTTCCTCAAAGTGCCTGCTTTTTCCACTGACAATAAAGGAAGTTAAGACAACTAGAAGATACATAAATGTGTACCTTTATTACTCACCCTAAGAGACAATATTGAGAGGGAATACATTGAAAATTTCAAATGTTTTTTTCAAAAATATTCTATATTGTTCATATTAAATCCAGGATTTCTACATGCATTTGCTAGGAGCAAGCACAGAAACAAATCTGCTAATTGTTTGCTACTCATTTTGATGGTGACAGCTATGGATACGTATCTAATGTACCTCAATGGTTGCAGGTTGATCATGTGCTTGTTTTATTCGACTGATATGTTGCAACCATCGTCATAATTTGTGTTACAAAACCAAACCAGGGAACAGATCACTAAGGATGTTAATTGCCAAAGCTACATCAGCTTCCAAGAGCTCTAAGGGAGCTGCAGTGATTTGCCCAAGCTGAGGATCTGGTTATCATGTCACGTACATCTTAAATTGTGTCAGTACACTTATGTTCAAACTGTGATACTGTAGTTGTTATTTAAAAATGTGATTTTTTAATCTATATCAGTTTCTCTATAATGGGAAGGTGAATGTGTTTTCAATACCATGTATTGCTGAAGGAGTATAGATGTAAAAGCATTATTAGTGTAAGGGATCACATCTCCATTGAAGCTATTGAATTCTCTCCTTGTGTCAGCAGGGATTTGACCCCTTTGTATTCAGTGTGCAAAAAAATGGCTTGACAGCACCCTTCTCACATGTGTTGTGTTAGTGATAGGGTAAAGTGTGATTCCTCCCTCTGCTACCTCCCAGTAAAATGGCAGCAATGGTATTTAATCACTGATCTTAACGATAGTTTGATTGAGTCAAAAATCAGCGATTCATTTGTATGAAGAATGACAATCTGGTCATGTCTTGAGAGGGTGGGGTCTTTGGGTTTTTTTTTTAGTTTACGGTTTGCTTTTTAAATACGATCATTTTAGCTACAGACTATAAATCTGAAATAGAAGTTAGGAAACAAGAAGAACAAAAGGATAACAGACAAATTGCTTATTCACTTCATTACTTTAAAATAATGACATTAAACAGTTCTGACAAGATACTTACGCTACATCCCTTCAATTTTCCCTTCTACTCTGCTGTAAAAGCAAATTGACTTACTGGAGCAACAGAGTCGGGAATTAAGGATTTCCAAGTCTTAAACCAAATTTACATCCTTGATCCTTGTGTATCTTTGGCCAAATTATTTAGTCCTTCAGCAACTTGTCTCGCATCTCCAAAATGTGATATTAATTATTTTTACTACACTGGAGAAAGGGACTATCCGGCGTAGTGAATGTTTGTTCTGCCTTTTGAACATGAGGTGCGATCCATGAATGCAAGAAGTTGCCAACTCTTCAGGACATGGCCTAGAGCTAAGATTTCCAAGCAGGAAAGGAGACAGATCTATAAGTTTCCCTTTACTTATTGAGTAACCTGCACTGCATGGAAAACTTTTGCCTGTATCTTATTTGTTAGTTTGGAAGGAAGCTAAAATGCTTTGTGGAGATGATTACATGAGGATAAAAAAACTCACATATTTGGGCTGCAAGCAGACTTTATAAATGAGTGGTAAACTATCAAAAATAAGAGTTAAAAGGACTCTTTACTGGTATTAAATGCAAGCTGCGTCTTGCAGACATTACTGTTAGTTTCTTTAGTAAAACCAACTTTTATCTGTAATGAAACTATTAGCACCATTTCCTACTGACAAAATATTATCTCCTAATTTTTAATTTTCGGCACATTAAATAAGAGGCATTCCATCATAGGAATGGTAATAATATTGATACAAGGCGTGAGTTGACATAGTTTTTGTCTAAACTCTGTTGTTGATCTTGCCATATCAGGACTGTAGCAGCTGCACATCGTGGTTGTTCCCTTTTTGCATGACTTGATGTTATAATTTGGTTAAACACTCAAGGGCAGCCTCACTGTCCGTTCTTGCTCTGTCCTTGCTCCTGCCCCTTCCCAGAGACTTCAGTGTATTACTAAGAACTGAATAGCACTCCTAGTACTTGACCACCTCAAGGGCAAACGGCTTTGATCCCAAGAGATGAAAACCCAGTTTGATTCATAAATTCCACACTTATTTAAAATGAAAAGGAACATCAGAGGGTAGGCTTTCTAGCTAATCCTTCTTCTGAATTTGTATCCCATAGATAACTGCTCTATTTGATAAAATAGTTTACTACACTAACATTTTCAGTCATGTGGAAGACACTCAGATTACCAGTTCATTACTTTACTCACTTTAACTTCTTCCCATGATTAAGCACCTGGGAAGTTATAGCTATCGTATTGCAGAAAGTCTCTCACCATTATATTACTGATGTTATATAATTCAGAATTCACTTTTATCTGGCTATGAAAACAGCTTTCTACAGAAAAAAAAATATGACATTGTTTTTTCCTTTTTTCTTTTTTCTTTCTCATTTCTCTTCCCAGATTGTGAGCGTGGGAAAGCATGTTAAAGGATACCATTATATTGTTGCCAACCTGGTAAGATACTTTTCTAGAATTATACCCCTGCTCGGTAAGTGAAACACTCAGTTTTGCTTTGAAGTTATAGCTCTTCACACAACATTTACCATTTGTCACTAATATGTGGTTGCGCATAATTCATTCTTTATGGTGCGTAAAAAGAACTTGGTTTTGTTCTTACAGCCATCTAGACAAGAAGGGCACAATGTTACCCTCTTAAATTTTATCAAAATCAATGTAGCATAAAGGACTGCTAAGTGTATCTTGTGGCTGAATTAAAATTTACAGAACTGCACTATGATTTTTTGACTCATCTTTTTGATATTACTAACATAACAATTCTCAAGGTAACTTTTCTATGTTCTCCAAGGAACATTCATTTTGCTGTAAGATCAGCTATTTCCAGTGAAATTGCTACTTCAGTATTTTCATTCTAAGTCTAAACTGCACATTCACACAGATAGTGTTCAGAAGAGGGCAAACAAAGAGTAAATCCAATATTTAATTATTAAAATAACCTGTTCTTTAAGCCAAAATACCTGCCTGGCCAAGCACAGTGAATGTAGGACAGGCTCTAATGTATAGTTTAAAATGTTTTCTTTTTACTCTCCCTCAAGGAATTTTAGTTAACATGAAATATTTTATTGTGCTTTGCTGTACTTGTACCTTAACTCAAGATCACTTCGGATTATTTTTAAGACCTCAGGCATTTTCAACGAGACATGCCTATTCTCTTAGGTCTTACGAATTGGATTTCCAGCATTACAAATTTATAGTTCCCCAAGTAACTTTTCCCGTGCAAAATAGTTGCTGTAAACAAGGAACGGATGTTGCAGTGAACTGCTAGTTGGATACACAGTGGAGACAGGCACTTACCTATTTCAGCAGGGGCACACGTTGCTGTCTACAGGCTGTTCAATAATGTGGGTAATTTGACTTCCTGATGCGTTGCCTTTTATATTTACTGTCAGTATCCTTTAGGATACTGTCCTTAACAGGTTTTTTCCTTGGGGTATTGGGTCATAACGCCACTTTCCTTTTTTCCTAAATCTTTCTTTTTTAAGTTGAGTGTGATAATACCCTTCATTTTGCACTGATGAATGTCAGTCAGAGAAATTTATGAAAATAAAAATACGATAACTCTGAGCTAGCACTAAACATAGTGGCTAGGAGAGAAGCAGAAAGATTCATGCTTACTTCTTAGTTTGCTTTAGCAGTTTGCGTTATGCAGTTTCTTGAAGTTCAGTTATGTCTGTAAGGCAAACTT